GTAATGCACTGCGTCCTTTCTTTCATCTGAGACTTCGTGACATCACTGCGCTGCTTCCGTATTACATTCTTGACTGCCTCTTTCCTCTCTGCTTTTAATTTCGTCGTACTCCACTTTTGGTGCATGGGCCAGGTCTCATTGTGTACCGGTAATCGTGGTTTTCTACCATACATCAGTTGGAAGGGTGACTTCTTCGTTGTTTCCTGAGTGGTAGCCCGATGTGTTAGTAAAATCAGTGGAAGCTCCGTTTCCCAGTTCCCGCCCTTCGAGGCCAGCCACTCCTTCAGTGTACGGTTGTTTCTCTCCGTTAGGCCATTCGTTTGTGGATGGTATGGGGTCGTTCTGATCCTCTTGATGCCCAGCTGTTGCAAACGGGAAGTAAACTCTTCACTCTCGAAACAGGGACCTTGGTCTGTCAGTATTGTCTTCGGTACGCCGTGGTCTGCAACAATGTGTCTAACTACTGCATCTGTCACGGTTCTTGCACGTTGGTCTGGGATTGCTACGGCGTCTACCCATCGTGTCGCGTGTTCCGTCATCACCAAGAGGTACTGATTACCATTGGATGTCTGAGGAAATGGACCCATGACATCTACGGACCACAAGTCACCTATCGCGGTAACTGGAATCGACTGAAGTGGTGGTCGTATATACCGGTCACCTTTCATCAGCTGGCACCGTGGACATCCAAGTACGTATCTTGCTACGTCTTCTCTCATACCTGGCCAGTACATACTTTGTCTTAGGAGGTCGGTCGTTCTGGCCACGCCTGTATGCGCTAGCTGGTGACATTCTTCTATCATGTCGTGGCGCGACGATTGAGGTATGACAGCCAGCCAGCTTCCGTCGTTCTCTCGCCAGGTCAGAGTCCCGTAGGCATTCACTCTGAGTCGATCCCTCTGTCTGAGTAGTGTGGTTAGCTCCTTACTCGCCGTAGTTTGATCCACTTCTATTCCGTTGGTGATCACCTGTATTACTGTATTCAGCGTATCGTCCAACCTCTGCCTACGTGCAAGTCTTAGTGGGTCTTGTTCTACTGCATGCACTCCGTAAGCGACCTCGGGCAACTCAGACTCATCTTCTGGTCTCGATAACAAATCTGCCAAGACATTTTCACTTCCAGGAACGTGTGAGATCGTAAAATCGTACTCCTGAAGACGCAACATCCACCGTGACAACTTCCCCCGTGGGTCTCTCGCTGTCTTCAAAAATTGTAGCGGCTTATGATCAGTTTCGATGTGGAACCGCCGGCCGAGTAAATAAGGTCTCCATTTGTCGACTGCCCATACCATTGCTAAACATTCTTTCTCTATCGTTGAATACTTTCTCTCTGTGAGGGTCAAAACCCTACTGGCATACTCAACGATTCCCTCGTCCTGTCTTAGGACCGCACCTATAGCGTAGTCACTGGCATCTGTGCACACTGTGAACTGTCTTCCTGGCACAGGTAGTTTTAGCGTCATTTGTTGGTGGTCGAGCAGCTGTTTAATTCTGTCGAATGTCCTCTGCGATTCTTCCGACCAAACAAACTTTGGCTCACCTAGTAGCCTGTATAGAGGGGCTGCTATCTCATTGAAGTTCTTCACGAAGCGACTATAAAACGCTGCTCTACCCAAGAATTGTCTCAGTTTTCTCTTTGAATTCGGGGCTGGAATCGTTTTAATCGTCAAAATTTTCTCCGGCAGTGGTTTAATCTCACCATTTCCCACTTTATGTCCCAACAGAGTAACATTCTTTTTGGCTATCTGAGACTTGGTTTTGTTGACGCGTAGTCCAAACTCTTCGATGCGTCGCAGCACGGCTTCTACATGGTTGACGTGATCGTTTTCGTTTTGACTGTATATGACGAGATCATCACCATAAACCTCCACGTTTTTCAAGTTCCTAAGTAATAGCTTCATCAGTCGTCTGAACGTAAACGGTGCACCTGCTAGTCCAAACGGCATGCGTTTAAATCGATATTGTGTCTGACCCACGATGAAAGCCGTCTTATCTCTATCACCTTGTTTTATCGGTATCTGCCAGTATCCTGAGCGAAGATCGAGAACCGAAAACACATTCGCACCTTGTAGGCGATCTAAAGTTTCTACCACTGTTGGCATGGCACACGGTCTTAACTCTGTCATACTGTTTAACTGTCGAAAATCAACACAGAATCTATACTTCCCATTCGCTTTTTTTACTAACAGCACTGGAGAGTTGTACGGGCTATCAGCTTCCTCAATAATATCATCTTTTAACATCTCTTGCACTTGTCGCTCCACTTCGCCTTCCAGATGACATGGAACTCTTCGCGTTAAAAATGACCTTACTTTCGGATCACTTAACGGAATTTCATGATTCACCTTATCGCAATAACCGTATGGGTCGCCATCTCCAGTGAACAGATGATCGTATTTATTAATTAACTCTGTCACATTGTGTACCGTCGACAGCTTAATCGCTGCTATCTCGCTGGTCTCATACATGTTGATATGCCCGTATTTCGTGATCACCACGTTCGCTTGCGTGTCGATTATTGCACCAATCTCACGCAGAAAATCCGCTCCTAATATCGTTCGCTGTAGTTCGGGTACAACAATGAAAGGAAACGTCACCTCGCAGCCACCAACAACGACCGTACAGTTCGATCTACCCGTGATACGCAACACATACCCGCCTACTGTTTGTACTGTCAATGAACACGGACTAACACTCTTACATAAATTCTTATCTATTAACGACACGGCCGCCCCTGTATCTATCAAACATACTACTTCTCGATCATTCACTCGCAACTTCGAATACAGAGCCCTTTCTCAATAGCCCCCACTAAATCTAGGTTCATACGAAAGAAAGAACAAGCATTATACCGTCTGAAATTTTTTCTTTTTCGCCTTTCTGGGCAGTATCTTCTCCAGTGTCCCGGCTTACCGCATTCAAAACACCGGTCTTTTCTATCAGCCAACTTTAACGCCGCCACTTCCCGCTGCAATGCTTCAATTTTCTGCTCATATTCGTTTGGTTTTGGTTGGTCTATAGCGGCTACCGTTGTGCTCAGCAGCTGTCTGGTCACCTTCGCCAGCTCACTAATATCCATCGGCTGCGTTGCGTTAACCAGTTGTAATCGCTGAGAAATGTGGTCTGGGACACTCTCGATGAATTGGGAAGACAGTAACTGCGCTTCTGATTCTTCATCTAAAGTGGGAAGCGCGCGTCGAAGTAGATTAGTCAGTTTCACCGCCAACACTAGCGGGTCTCCATCAGGTCCAAGCTTCATTGACCGGAACTGCTGCATTGCTAGCTGTCTGTCTGTTTCGCTGTCAAACTCGGACACTAGTCGTTCAACCAATTTCTTCCAAGACGCTGTGCCATTTGACCTGTCTACGCTGTCATATGCAGCCTTCGCTCGGCCTCTCAACAGCGTCCCCAGGACAACTGCCTTCGCCGCCTGCTCCTTGACACCCACCAGCTCAGCAACGGCCTCGAAGTCACGTAAGAAGCTCCGTATGTCTCCTTCTTCAAACGCAGCTGGCCACGGGATCTTCATCTTTTTGGAGGCAGCGACACCAAATGTAACAACAGAAGACAAGGGCTGGCAACAGATCGTTTTATTACGAAAATCAACACGTATTTATATATATTTTATGTGCATTAATAAGGCTTATGCAAGCAGAAAAAGGCAGTCTTCTGATTGGTTGTTTCTCGGAAGTTAAGCAGACAAACACAGTCTTATGATTGGTTGTTTTCGATATTTCTCGGAAAGTAGAGCCATCTATCTGCGAATCATATTTGTCCACATTTAAGTTTGCTGTGATTGGTTGTTGAAACAGCCTTGTTCATATTTTCTCACGGCCCATATTAGTGACCTAGACATTAACGTAGATTAGTGTCAACCAATCGGCTAGCAGCCTGCTCTCACCACAATATCAGCTCTCAATGGGTATTAACAAAGTAATCGCCATATTGATCAAGATTTATGAAAACAGAATTGATAGATATGGTGCCGCCATGGTGAGCAGTCTTCTTCATTTAACCTGGAGTCCTGTGTGTGTGTGATAGCTGAGGTATCAAAATCTCTGGCCGAAAGCTCTATATTTCTTATCAAAGGAAATTTCACCTAATAGATTGATTTGTCTGTCGTTTTCACCACATTTCAGAGAGGTTGCAACTTCATAAACCGATGCCACTCTCATTTTTCACTGTTTTGTCACCCAATAACATGGTAGAGATGGAGGATAGTTCACCACAAATAACTGATGTTTCATAACATTAATTGCTCCAGTTTTGAGCACAGATTGGTGTCAGTTAGAGAGCCATTGAAAACCAGGAACTACTCGACAGCTGTTTCGTCGGTCTAGTTTTGAACTCATCGTCAGGAGCATCCACCGTCAGGGTTCGAAGCTGCGACCTCTCAGTTACCAGTCAAGCTTCTAGGCCATCCAGACACTGGGATTCGACTCATTGGACATGAATTACTATTTTCTTGTTTCATCAGCTGACTTCCCTAAGTGACTTAAAATTAGCGACTCAATTTAGACATTAGATGGAAGACACTTGTATCACAACGAATACATTCCTTTCACGTCTTTAGCTTTCGAACGTCAAACACAATATCTTCAAACGCAAAACAAACTGATGAGTGTGTCCTCTAGACAAGTTAAATTTTTGCCGGTTGACTGCGACATTTGCAGTTACTAAGTGTCATGCAGGGTACACTGTATTTTCCTGTAGATGTTTTGAACCACGTGGCCATCCGTGTTGACGAACTTTATTAATAATTTTCAGACGAACGGTCCAGCCAACTAGAGTGCGTTTTGCAGCTGGTGGCAGAAACTGGCTGTTGAGAACCACTTGTAGAGTCACACTTAAAGCTCAAATTAATCACACACACACACTTATTTTCCTAACGCTTTTTCCCATATTTTTAAGTTGGTGGGAGTCCTTCACTTCCAAATAACTGGAAATCGTCATCTGTGCCTCTAGTTATAAATAGAAAAAAGATTGAAATCCGAACTCACCCATCTGGACTGTTTAGTATAGACTGTCTGTGTCTCCAACGTTGAAGCGTTATTCCCAATAGAATAGGAGCAGTTGTCATGTTTCTTTGAATCTACGGGCACAGTTTGACTGCTGGCACTTGTGCCACTTGCAACGCTACTCAAGCTAACAGCATCTTGATTATCTGAAAAGTTTTAAATATGAGGCGGCGAAGAGAGATTAAAAATTAAAAGGTTTTTTGTTGAAATATGAGATATTGAGCTTTTTAAGAATAATCCATTCATCATCTGATTGCCTGTTACTCAATGCTTAGACAGTAATCTGTATTTGAATGTAAAGTGATGGACAAAGTGAGAGTCTGTTTGCCACTGTAAATGCATGATGGCTTTCTCGTCAAATCCCTAATTCCATGTTGTTCTCGTGTGTACTGAAGCCATCTTTATTGCACATGGTTCAAAATATTTCAAAATGATTTTTCATGATAAATGGAAGTCGGTCGTGTAGGCAATAAACACCGGGTAGATTTATGCAGCTGACATTGATGTATGGTGAGAATATGTGACTCACATCAGTTATTTTTCCATAAAGATCTACTCAGAAAAGATGTTGATTATTAGGTTTTGATAACTAAGTATTGTGTTTTCCTGTTTCATATGTAGGTTTCCATGATGAACTGTGGACGCATATTAACTGTGGTCGGCCATCTATTTTCTAAGAACAGCGACGTATAAGCCTATCACAGCGACGAAAACTATTCGAAGAATCTGAATCAAAATCTTTTCTTACTATTTTGTAAAAGTTTGAAGTAAACCACGAGTAATTTAACCACTTGAAAAAGTTCCTATCAAATGCACTGAGTGCATAAAATGAAGTGGGATGGTGGGGGGGGGGGGATGTGAAAAGTGAAGTTTCACCGAAGTAAATTAATTACGATTAATTCTCTTTTATCCTTCTGATTTGACCTGCACATGAGCTTTGTCTCATTTTATACTCTGTTGGTGTTTTACGATCCACTTTTACATTTCATTGTTGCTTTGAAACGCGTAACTCGATGGTCGAATACTTTGACATGTCATTTATCAGCCTGTGAGCTGTGAATGTATTCTCGTAATCATCCTGAATATTGCACTTCTGAAATGCTTATGCATTTTGATGCAGCGCATTAGGATTTCTTAACGGAACAACATTTGCAAGTCTAATAGCTTCGAATTAAATAAGAGAATATAATTAGCTGAATATAATGAAAGTAGAGGTTTCCATGAAGATTTATGAATCCCATTGTGACATTTTCCGGAAGCTAAGGAGTCTGAAAATTGTCTAAAATATCCTTTGTACATATTTATCCAGTTTCTTATACTATTCATATAGAGAACAATAAGGTGGCCATAGAATCCAAACTCACCTCGGTAAAAAGCATCAGGAAGTGTACGACAAGACATCGATCTTCTTGGTCGTGGTTTAAAACTGTTTGGAGAGTTGGCTAAAGACTTGCTGTCCCTATCTTCCTCACGTGTATGATTTACAATGCTTTGAAGCTCTTGTATCTCAGAGTTCTGACAAAGAAATTATAATCAAATGGGCAGACAGTTTTAGACGTCAAATACCAACTCAAATGAACGGTTAGTGTAAATATTAGAAGAATAGGCATCATTCTCAGTATTCACTAAAGATGGTAACTAAAGACAGATATTTTGTTAAAATAATAACTGTCGAGATACTGCCATAACGTAGTATGATAGAACTAATCCTGAAGTTTCAGTTGGATGCACTTCCTTCGATATGATCATCTCTACTTCTTCTTAAACGTCTTTTAACGACAATGTCTAATTATGTGAATTCCAATGGTTCAATATTCTGTTTCTGAAACCCAGGCTTTGGATATATTTGTCATCTTATAGACATGTGCAGCTCTCAGAAATTTAAGGGCTGAATTTTTCATAACTATGGAATATTGCATTTCCTTGTGCGTTGGTGGCACAGTGGTTAGGACGCGAGCGGATCATGGACATGGTGCAGGGTTCGATCCTCGGCCGACACACTCCTTCACCTTGCTAAGCCAGTTATAAGACTGGTAGACAGGAAAGGTTCTGCATGAGGCTTGCATCTCCATCCTGTAAAAATGAACACTTCTACGGAAACTTCAAGCCTCTTGCCTGAATCCCTATGTTCCACTGGGAATGTGAAGGAATAAAATAATAATAATAATACAAATTAACGCAAAAAAAGCAATGCCAATTAGTTTTACTCTATTGAACTTTCAAAGATTTAACTTTTAGACGTTGTCGTCCTCAATTATAGCGTATTATGATATGCCATTCCATATCACGGTGCCTTCTCACTGTACATATTTATATATATATATATATATATTTATATATATATGTATATATAGTATTCAGTTCAAACTTTATTGTTACCCACGCTTTTCGAAACTCCTGAGGACGATGTCGGATGCATCTAGAACTCATTCTACGAAACTGATATACCTCTGTAATAAGGCATCTGAATGCACAGCAGAAGCCATACATGCTCTTATGATGAGTGTAGGCTTTACGGAATTTTCCAGGTACCACTTGATAGTGAGAGGCAACAGAGAGGGATTCTGAGATCCTTCAGTGGGTGCCTACTAATGAAGAGTCCTAAACTAGGACGAAACGGCTGTCCAGTTCTCCCAGGTTTTACAGTGGTTCTCTAACTGATGTCAGCTCATGATGAATTCCTCCATCCAATTTTCCGTTAAATTATTTGTTAATGAAACTAACTGTGACTGGTACACTGAAGGAAGATAAACATTTCCCATAACGATATTAAGAATGGAACACCTTAAGATTCTGTTCTTGACTCGGAAAAACGTCACCTGAACATAAGTACTGAAAAGTTTTATGTATCACTGATTTATTTTCTATTCACTTAATTTCTTTTGTTCTAATCATTTATTTACCTAACGGTGAATCAGTTAACACAACCCATCGAGTGTTTATTTCAGTAGGCGCATATGATGCTTGGCGATCTAATGAGTAACTGGGTGAGTTAATTAATAAATGAAAAAAGAGCAGAATGACTAATTTAACAACATAAAACTTTGCTCGCATACAATTCAAGAAAAAAGAGAGATGGTGAAACTATAGTGGATAGAAACATATGGTGGAGAACAGTTGAATGAATATTTGTTGTGGACTTTTACGATCTTGAAGTGAACAAAGCCAGTGCATACGTAGAATCATTGACAATTTTAGGAACGTTTCACAGAAAACGTCCTACCGATGATTCTTAGCACTAAACGAACCCTAGCCGGACAATCTACAACCCTTCACTCGGCTCAAACCAAAAGTTAAAGTCTTCATGGACTAGTGCCGCGTTTTATTCTGATCAATTCAGATCAGTCAGTAGCCTGATCTTATTTCAGCTAACGTAATTTTTCATAGGTCATGGCTCGATTTACGTGACACATCTTCCCGCTATCTCCTAGTCTTAAAACATCATCAGTTGACTCCCCATTCTTACCAAAAGCCCTACAACTAACCTGATTATTGCTTATCTTGCTTTTATATCTAACCTAGACAAATGAACGAAACACCTCTGATAAGAAGCTGCCAACAAACACCTGTTGAAATTCTCTTTTCAACAGTCTCGTAAAGTTGGACTGAATGGACTACTTCATGGTGAATACACCTTTTGAATGGTGACCAGAAATTCATCCTAAACAAGAAATAACTTAAGTTCGAAAATGATAAATAGCTCTTTATATTCATTTTGACGTTTTGTTAGCAATGAGTGCATTAGGGCTAGTATAACTTCTAAGTTTAGTGAATTCATCAAAGCATTATATAATTTAACTGACTGCCGTCAAACCAGTAGTCAGTACAGACCAGTTCTACAGCATCACTTGGCAGTCTACCAAACAAGGCAAAGCCTATTACTTCCAAACTACGCTATTGTTATGTAAAACTTTACACAGAGATTTCAGGTATGTATTATTCCTGATATCAGGAAGAACGATGCAGTAACTCAAAAAGACACTCATTTAAATACATATCAGAGTCACACAAAAGTGGTTCATTGTGGTTATCAGGCTAAATTTGAATTTTATATAAAAGTCTGAATATTAACCTAATCTAATTGGAGAAAAGAAATTTAGAAGTATTCAAAACTTCCAAATGCCCAGAATTCGGTTTTATTAAGGCATCATTTTTAACACCCGGTTTCTATCTGTTTCAATCTCAGAGTGCAATAAGTTTTTGATCTAATAAATAGAGGGTATTAACAGTGGTTTTGTTACAGTCTTCACGATACCCTTCATTCCTGTCCTGACGTCCTTAAGCTCTCCATTAACATTTAAAAAAACTTATATTTTCATGAAACTAACCTTCATAATTTCCGACGGTTTAATTTGCCCAATTGGATCCACCATTTTTGCCAAAGTATCTTTTAAATCTCGAATCACAGTGTCCTGTATACAAGAAGAAACGTAATATTGAGCACTTAGTTACCATTGAGTACTAGTTTTTCGTAGTAGTGCAAACAGCACCGTGTTTCGATACGCAGAGCTGGTAAGATTTCACCAATCTCACTAATAATTTTGTTGATAAACTTAGTGTCTGAATATTAGAGAAAAAGGGTATGAGAAGCAGATTCTAGGACAGAGAATTAATTTCTTTTGGCGTAAGCACAGACTTTGTAAATCAACAAATTATTGAAGTAAATTTTGTCGTGCAGGTGTACGTGCATTGTTCATAAAATTTTCCATAATACTATATACTACATGAAACAGTGACGCATGCGTTTCACGTAACCCTTAAAGTCCAGCTAAATGCTGCTTAAAATTCCAATAGTTTCTCCGCTGACTAATAAACATGATTTATTCTACCCTAACAAGTTCACGTATATTTAACAAGCATATCAATGAAGAGCATTGTATGTTGTCAATACTTACACGTTATAAAACTGTTTATACTAATACATTTCTAGGCATATATTTAATCCCCCTCTGTCGTTTTCCACTGTAGCCGAATGGGTAAACTCCGAGTCTTACAGAATACATTATGGCAAAGCAAAAGACAGATAGCGGAACAAAGTAATTGCATGCACACTTGAAACTCAATTGAATTACCTTCGAATCTGCATCATCTCTGATTAAATCATCACCATTCCTTAGGACTCGAGTTTTGTCCAATCCTCTGGATAAGTCGGTTTCACGAATTTTTTTCTCCTAAAACATTCTCAGGTGTATTTGAGTCTGGAGAAATTGTTTGTCTTCTCTCACTAGAACTCGACTTTTTCAGAGGTGTCGGGGAATTCTGCATCTCTGATTTCCGATCTTCTCTGTCTATGCCATTGTTGCTATTTGAAGTTTCTGATTTCTGTTTTGCAGACGCTAATTCTTGTCTAACCATGCGTTCTGTTTCTATTAATCGCTTTGGTCGAAGATCATAGTTTGAGGAGCTTGCGTTTTGACCTGTTCCGAGAGATATATTATAATTTGTATCCCTTTCTAGTGTTTTCATGCGGACACATGGTGACGGTAATCTTCTAGAACGCGGTATACTCTTCTGATTCGTCACAGTCTGTAATTTGGACTCGTTTGGATTGATGAACACATTATTTGAATCTAATGTCATGAGTGTTTTATCGTCCTGACTTGAACATGGCAGTGTTTTTTCATGCGAATGCTTACGTAGTGATCTTGACTTATGTTTTATTGGTGAGTTTGTCTTTGTTAAAGATGTTGACATTAAATCAGGAAAATGCTGACAGTTTGGAATGATGTTACATCGAACATCATTATGGGAAACTAAGCTCAGATAGTTGATTCCACTTTCGAAAGTTCTAGAGTGGTTATGATATTTAGCGTTAATTCCCGGTGTTAAGTATTCATTAATTCTAGTAAACGGCAATATAAATGACTGTACAGATCCGGTGAAGACTGAACCAGTCCGATCTTCATCTTCAGTTGATTTTTCACGGTCTGGAGGGTCTGAAATTTCACGAGCCCATCTTTGCGAATCTGTCGGCGTCCATTTTGCTAGTTGACCACGTGACATTTTTGCTCTATCCACACTTTGTATTCGTTGTCGAGGCATATTAGGGGATGTGAGAGAATTCTGTTGCTCAGTGACTTCATTCATGTTCGTATTTTGTCTTTCACTACACCAGCTATATTGTTTCTCCTCACTGTCATCATTATCATTACAGTTACTCTGCAGTTTAGCACCACGCTCTGATTCACATCTTGTTAGTAGACTTGAAACCAATGGTTCGTAGTGAGATTTCGTATAAGAATAGAAATTTGGATAAAATCTCTCCATTACACAGATTATTTTCACCTGAATACCTCAGAATGTCTTACTGGGATACTGATGATTATGTAATAAATTCCACTTCAGAGATAACTAATTAACTAATGCGACACTCCCTTGTTTACTGTTCCTTCAAGTGAGACAGGAAATGTGTGCAAAGATAAAGATGTATTTATATGTGTGTGTCTGTGTTACTTGGTGTGGCCATTCACACTATTTCCTTAACAAATGAATATTCACTGTTATTCCCTATGCAACCATGACTTATCCAATCAGTAAACAGTCTGTTCTATTGGTCAGACTGTCTTTTTTCACAGATCTAGGTTTTTCCTTTCCATTTCTCTTTTTAAAGTGCATTATTAGGCGTAACATTATATGGTTTTATATATGATGTATGTTTCTAGGAATATATGCCAGCCAAGTAGCCATGCAGACAGTCGATCTATTACCTAGTCAAATCATTAAACCGATTCGTAAATATGAATCTATTGCTAATAAGTTCATGATCATATGTCAGATGTGTACTAAAGTGAAGTAGTTTGCTAACTGACGCCTTATTACTGTGTATACATGAAGTGAAGGCAACTAAAATGAGTTTTCAGGAACAATTTCTATATAATTTAAAGCCCGTCCTTGGTAGTCAGAAAGATTCAGTAGTTGAGTAGAAGCAATTACTGCAACAGTCGTTGAACTGAACCTTCAAATGCATTGTTTTGTTTCTTTTGTAAAGAACAACAAGAACTCGGAAATTAGGTATGACAACTAGTGGTTGAAGTGATTCTGAGTTGTAGATGAAGTCAGTCGTATTTGAGTAGTCAGTAAAGCCTAAAGTTAATAAGTCAAACATCATAGGTTTGTATCCCTTTGCCACTTAGGATTTTTTCATCTTCAGTCATTACACCAGTTTACTGTTTTAAACTAAGAGATAAAAAGTGCTGGTTTAAACTCACTCTTAGTGATACCTCAGCTGACATTGTGGAGATTTGGTCATAAAGACTCTTAGTCTTCTGATGAAGGTCTTCAGTCTGTAAACAGAAAGAGGAAAAACTGTAGATGTTGTGATCAGTGAAACAGCGAACAAGAAGCATAATGCACAAAGTGTACATATCATTAGGCTAACTTTCTTGTCATGGTGACTGTTGCAGTCCTCTGAATTCAATTCAGCAGAGAATCTTGTTATTTTCTTCAGGTTTCACTATAGAGTTATGGTTTCGATTGCATGTGTTGAACTTATTCACTAGTGTTTTCATGTAGCGCTCAAATACTTTCACCATTTATACAAAATCAAACTGTGAATATGACAGACATAAGTCAGTTGAAAAGGTAATCAGAGATTTATTCTATTCAGAACTCACTCCTTCACGAGGTATGTCTCATGGCATTTCTACTTAATCAGTCAATCCTGTAAAAAGTATCAGAGCTGTGTTCTGTGTACTTTGTGAGTTAGTGTCGTGGTATTTCATCAGATGCTATAAGCTGAATCTGAAGCAGTATCCTAGTATTCATCCCACCACTCAGCAGTTCCTATGTTTTTCTACAATCAGAATTATTCTCACCGGCAGGGATTTCCAACTAGTATTACTAAGCGACTAGAGTGTTACCATACATCTGTGGTTTGCTCACTTTGGGTGGATTCCTCATTTATCATAATCAAGTATAATTTCAACAAACACTTTGTCACATTCGGGATTTGTCGGAATAGTTGGCCTGAATTTAAGAGTCAGAACAGGACATAGGATTAAGAGAAAATCATACATCTGAAGTCATCTGTTTCACAAAAGTAGATTGCTAAGATAGTAAGTAGGGAAGGTTGATGAATTTATATGCAGATCTATATGTTTGCTGAATTCACGTGGAAGGCTGTCCTCCATAATTCGACCGCACAGGTTTGACTCTTAATAACTTTCGAATGCTGTAGTGGAATTCAGGTAAGTAGGATATTCAGGAACTGCTTCCTTCATTCTGTGGCGGAAACCCTGAAACCACTTTATTGTTCCATTTAGTTTTATCAAGTCTAAGGCAGTTTTACATATCATTTATACTAATGTCAGTCGTATAACCTACCTCGAACACAAACAATAATACACTTATCTTTTGTAGGTAGAGTTTACCTTTTTATCAACCAGTCCTCAGTGTTTTTTGTATCTCCTTACCTACCTACTTACTTGCTTACTTACTTAGTTACTTACTTAATAATGGAGTATTTTGTAGACAGAATGAGGATTTTGATGTGTGCATGCTATACCAAATAATTAAGTTGTGAACAGTGTGTATAATTATTATGATGATGAAAACTTGAGAGAGGAGAGGGAGTACACAATTCAGTCATATTATTCAGGAGAAAAATTCACTTTCGTTTGCATTAATTGCTGTGCATGTGGAGTGGAGTGGATTGGATTGGATTAGATAAGTAGTGTAAATGTCATCGCCTACATCTAGACACTTACGTCGTAAATATCGTAGATTGTTATTGTATACGGCGAAAACAATACTGTAAAAACCTATGTCATACTTTTATTTCACTAAGAAAACTAACAACAATAATATTGGGTTGAACGAAAAGGAGAGTATTTTAATACATCTCATTCGAAGTTCTTATGAATTTCCTTTTTTCTACAAATAAAATTCTCGTGATGCATGATGAATGAATGTAGAAATGATGGGATTTGCGATTCAGTGCTGTTAAATGCAAATTATCTCATAGGCGAGATATTAGCACATGTTTGACAAATCGAACTTACTTCTTCTCATGCTTTATGGTACACATAACCTTTGGACGGGTCTGCCTCAAATTTATCTATTGGACAATCAGTAGATTCTGGGTTTGATCCTTCCGTCTGAAACCCCTTCTAAGACAGTATACCTATTTATTTGCAACAGCTAGTTATCACCCTATCTGCATATGTATGCTTATTCCAACAACCGTCATTATTTCACACTTATAACGTCATGCCAACTTCTGTGTCTTTCTAACGTTCAATTAGTCATCCGTTCAAGCCTGCACATTACATTACGTAATGGATGTTTCGAGAACAAAGTTTACCAGTATCCAGTCGGCCTAATGATTTCTTATTTAAATGTAATTACTAGTGTACATCTCATGAAAATGAATCGTCGTAGAGAAAATTCTCTTTGCTGTTTACGTCCTATCTCACGAGTGATTAATATTAAGCACCTTAGTAATTTAAAACTCATTTATATAATGATAAATTGAAGATGAAAGAGTTCTCAAAACCAAAATTCATCATTTCGGAAGTCTGAAATCTTAAGTCGACCTACTGAGGAAATGTGTTTTTGCCATTTTTAAAAAGATCACAAGTTAATCTGAAACATTCCTATGCACATAATCATCTCAAAACTGTACACTTACCGGGATACTGGTGTTCCTAATTCTCGCTGCGTCCACAACCTGCGTAACAGCTAATATAAAGAATGCAAGGTAGACATTAGGACTGATATGTTAGAGTTAAAACTGTGTATTTACTTCTGATAGCTTAAAACACAAATGATAAAAGGTCTTTACCACCATCGTTCAGCCCACATTCATAATTGTGTAAAACTGTTGGCCTACTTAAAATTTGCAAAGTAGTATACTTCATTCGACTCAAATATGTGGAGTCATAGCATTACTGGATTACGGAATATCTCGTTAATTTCAACATGGATTAGAAGCATAGACAAAGTTATAGTACATTGAAACAGCTGTCTCTCCACAGAATATACAAAGTGCATCTCGTATAAAAGTCATAATTGGTAAGAAATACAGCCTAATAAAACCAAGCTTAGTTTCAATTTATCCGTGTTAATCGTCATCCCTAAAGACTAAAATACGTGGAGTTTGTGTGATAAAATAGTGCTGACTCAATAAATATTGGAAATCCGGGAGAACCGGACACTGTTACTTTCATGTTAGAGACCTCTCATGAGTTTTCGCTCGAGTGTCATTGGGAAATCAACCCCCTGTTAACCTCGGTAGAACCGTATATCCCACGGGTAGCGTTCATAGCTATAAGTTGGTAAGCATTTCAAACTTAGAACTAGAAAGCTTTACAGAGCATGATAGTTTTATGTGGTCGCTTAACTGATATGGATTTCTAACAAAAGTGTAGTGAAATCAGTTGACTTATGTGGTTGTGAACGATTCCTCATGCAGAAGTCACTTACGGTTTTACTACATGATGAAGATTGTTCTTCGTCGTCTTCACTGTGCTTATCATGCAGAAACTGATCAACAATTTACCCAGTTCAGGAGTAACTGACAGCACACGAATGCTACTTGGCTCTCATAAGCTGAATTAAATTATCAGAAGAATGGATACTGAACAAAGGGTACTCTTTTCGATAAATTCATCATCAGGCTCTACAGTTATATATATACATTATCGAAGATTTTCACACAGTATTATATTGCTTGATCTCTTTTTCATCATAATACTGCTTATTTTACTCCTTCGGTGTTGATACAGTAAAGAATTTAGAGCCGCCGAAACTTATTTCAAGATACCTTCCCGGAAATCTAGGTGACTGACTGATCAAACAGTCAGTTGAATCAACAAGTTGTCCTACATAAAAGCTGTTTCCAGAACTGATTTGCTAATTCAACTATCAGGCTCTTCAGTAAGTGTGTGTGTGTCTGTGTCTGTCAGAAAGGATTACTACAAAACAGGAAGTCAGACACTTATTTGGTCAGGACAAATTATCTTCCATGGAACTTACCACTTGAATCCCATGTCGTTAATACATGTCTTCCATTTATATGATGATTTTGATGAAGACTTGAATTATAGTCTCCTTTTCTCTGTATCCCATAACTTGATGTACAAGACTGGGCAGCCATATCATTCAACGAATCCACATTAGCATTGATAGAAAGAGTTGGATAGGGGAGTAAAATGCGACTTTGGGACCTTGTATCCACACTGAGGTTAGACAGAGGAATATAAGTCTTTGTCACCACTTCCTGTTGGTTACTTTTATGACTGAGTAATTCCTTATTTTCGCGCTGAGCTGAGCTCTGTGAAGTGCAAAGTTTTGGCCATTGAAATCCTTGAACCTTAGTCATCCTGTCGGATTTTTGCAGGCATCCCTTAAAGGTTGTAAGTGCATGATTCCGCATGGAAGAAAGGTCCCTTTGACTGTACCTCGATAGGCCTTCAGCGATCACTGGAGTTTCATGAGTTAGTGAGTATATAGAGGCCGTAGAAAATTTGAAATTGTTACTTGTACTTGTTGTAGTAGTGCCATGAATCGGTCTGGATTGGAGTTCGCTTGAAGTTGAGTATTTGGCTCCAGTATCTACAAAATTATCAGGCCATAACAAGCTTCCCGAGAGAAGGCAGCTGTCAACTGGAGGCTTTGTTTCTGATGAGTCTACTATATCGATCAACCCTTTCTTAGGATGACCACATGGCATGTATTCGTAGAGGTTCAGCTGCCAATCTGAATCGTTTCCCGCCTTCTTTAAGCTTCCTCGTTTTACCTCAGGCAGCGATATGTTCAATGCACCATACTCATTTTCGACATCAGAAAAGTACTTCAGATTCAATGCCATATCATCCAAAAATAAATATGGCCTGACTTTTAAAAAAGAAGACAGAATTCGGTCAGAATCACTTTTAGTATTAAATGGTTTTACGCTAGGAATCCAACTAGAAAGATTGGGAAGGCTTATTGTTAAGTTGCAAGTAACAAGATTTTCAACAGCTTCTGTGGCGGTAGACAATATGCTATTTGCATTATTTCTTTTATCTTCACAGGAGTAAGCGACATGGAATCCAGCTGTGTTGGGGTACCTGAGAAATATAATAAACGAGGATTATTAATTTGAAAGAAGTGTAGGGAAACCACGAGAAATTGAATACCCGAATTTTCACTCCTTTCAGATTTTACGCATTTTCGATAACTATCGGATAATAACATTTATCACATAAACAAATGGACAGTGAGGAAAGTCCCCCTATCCATAAAAGCATAGCCAATCAGACTGCAATCTGAGCAAGCTTATCAAATTTGAGAAGCGAGGGTTACGCGCTAAGAGATGAAAACAAAATATAGTGCTCATTTACAGAAAAAAGAGAATAGGATATTTAGGACATGAATTCGTATGATCGAATTAGTACTAACTTGCAATATGAGCGAGAACGTATTCCGACACCAGCAACAGAAATTCGACGTTATAACAAGCTGTTGATTATTGACATCTAAGTGAAAAGATTATCGAGAGCAGTCACCTTCTGACGTCAACTCTAAATTCTCACTCAATCTTTCAATATGTTCGAAATATTTATTTTGGTGGCTTCACAGCAATAGATGAAATAGATAGAATGGCACAACTTATCCAGTGAACCTCTGTTGACTGAATCACCATGGAACACATCAAATCGAAATGAATAAACACCAGTCCGTGGAATCAGTGATCATTAATTTAGAGGAAGGAAAACTGAGTGAGGCTGATATTAAATGGTTATATAAACTATGACGTTATTTGTATCAACATTGAGCACATTAAGAATTCCGGAGAAAGGATTTGAGCGAGACTCGTTCTGTAAGGCTACGGGATTCAATTTTTGTCATTCCCAAATATTCCTCAAAATGAATCACTTCGCTAATCAGCAATTCTCCTCATCCAAGCTTTTGTGATATAACCATACGTGTACTTAACAAATTCCTCAGATTACCAACGGAAATAAAATAATTCTTCCAAGGAGACTAATACTATGGAAACTGTATGGGAATAGTGGAACTTCAATATTTATTAATTCTCTTAATAAAAATTATTCAAAATTAGTCGGAAGAAAATATATTTATTATGTGAACTAAGAATAACTCAGTTCTAGACAATAAATAATACTATTATTGGTTATGCACCATCATCACAGACATCAATCAGAGTCATATATAATGTTTGGTTGGCCAAGTCGGTGCAAGGCATTTCGCTCACATCTTCATGCACGTAAAGCTCTTGTAATGCATAGGAAAAGGCCTGGAATTTGTTCTCAGCCTCTTTCACCAATATGGCCTCAGTGTCTCTGTCAGTTTCCTTACTTGTTGTATGTGCATGATAGACCGTATGTTTCTAAAGCAGTCTAAAGCAGTTTTACATATCATTTGTATTAATGTCAGTCGTATAACCTACCTCGAACACAAACAATAATACACTTATCTTCTGTAGGTAGAGTTTACCTATTTATCAACCAGTCCTCAGTGGTTTTTGTATCTCCTTACCTATTTACTTACTTACTTACTTACTTAGTTACTTAATAATAGAGTATTTTGTAGACAGAATGAGGATTTTGATGTGTGCATGCTATACCAAATAATTAAGTTGTGAACAGTGTGTATAATTATTATGATGATGAAAACTTGAGAGAGGAGAGGGAGTACACCATTCAGTCATATTATTCAGGAGAAGAATTCACTCTCGTTTGCATTTATTGCTGGGCATGTGGAGTGGAGTGGATTGGATTGGATTAGATAAGTAGTGTAAATGTCATCGCCTACATCTAGACACTTACGTCGTAAATATCGTAGATTGTTATTGTATACGGCGAAAACAATACTGTAAAAACCTGTCATACTTTTATTTCACTAAGAAAACTAACAACAATAATATTGGGTTGAACGAAAAGGAGAGTATTTTAATACATCTCATTCGAAGTTCTTATGAATTTCCTTTTTTCTACAAATAAAATTCTCGTGATGCATGATGAATGAATGTAGAAATGATGGGATTTGCGATTCAGTGCTGTTAAATGCAAATTATCTCATAGGCGAGATATTAGCACATGTTTGACAAATCGAACTTACTTCATCTCATGCTTTATGGTACACATAACCTTTGGACGGGTCTGCCTCAAATTTATCTATTGGACAATCAGTAGATTCTGGGTTTGATCCTTCCGTCTGAAACTTCTTCTAAGACAGTATACCTATTTATTTGCAACAGCTAGTTATCACCCTATCTGCATATGTATGCTTATTCCAACAACCGTCATTATTTCACACTTATAACGTCATGCCAACTTCTGTGTCTTTCTAACGTTCAATTAGTCATCCGTTCAAGCCTGCACATTACATTACGTAATGGATGTTTCGAGAACAAAGTTTACCAGTATCCAGTCGGCCTAATGATTTCTTATTTAAATGTAATTACTAGTGTACATCTCATGAAAATGAGTCGTCGTAGAGAAAATTCTCTTTGCTGTTTACGTCCTATCTCACGAGTGATTAATATTAAGCACCTTAGTTATTTAAAACTCATTTATATAATGATAAATTGAAGATGAAAGAGTTCTCAAAACCAAAATTCATCATTTCGGAAGTCTGAAATCTTAAGTCGACCTACTGAGGAAATGTGTTTTTGCCATTTTTAAAAAGATCACAAGTTAATCTGAAACATTCCTATGCACATAATCATCTCAAAACTGTACACTTACCGGGATACTGGTGTTCCTAATTCTCGCTGCGTCCACAACCTGCGTAACAGCTAATATAAAGAATGCAAGGTAGACATTAGGACTGATATGTTAGAGTTAAAACTGTGTATTTACTTCTGATAGCTTAAAACACAAATGATAAAAGTTCTTTAACACCATCGTTCAGCCCACATTCATAATTGTGTAAAACTGTTGGCCTACTTAAAATTTGCAAAGTAGTATACTTCATTCGACTCAAATATGTGGAGTCATAGCATTACTGGATTACGGAATATCTCGTTAATTTCAACATGGATTAGAAGCATAGACAAAGTTATAGTACATTGAAACAGCTGTCTCTCCACAGAATATACAAAGTGCATCTCGTATAAAAGTCATAATTGGTAAGAAATACAGCCTAATAAAACGAAGCTTAGTTTCAATTTATCCGTGTTAATCGTCATCCCTAAAGACTAAAATACGTGGAGTTTGTGTGATAAAATAGTGCTGACTCAATAAATATTGGAAATCCAGGAGAACCGGACACTGTTACTTTCATGTTAGAGACCTCTCATCAGTTTTCGCTCAGGTGTCATTGGGAAATCAACCCCCTGTTAACCTCGGTAGAACCGTATATCCCACGGGTAGCGTTCATAGCTATATGTTGGTAAGCATTTCAAACTTAGAACTAGAAAGCTTAACAGAGCATGATAGTTTTATGTGGTCGCTTAACTGATATGGATTTCTAACAAAAGTGTAGTGAAATCAGTTGACTTATGTGGTTGTGAACGATTCCTCATGCAGAAGTCACTTATGGTTTTACTACATGATGAAGATTGTTCTTCGTCGTCTTCACTGTGCTTATCATGCAGAAACTGATCAACAATTTACCCAGTTCAGGAGTAACTGACAGCACACGAATGCTACTTGGCTCTCATAAGCTGAATTAAATTATCAGAAGAATGGATACTGAACAAAGGGTACTCTTTTCGATAAATTCATCATCAGGCTCTACAGTTTATATATACATTATCGAAGATTTTCACACAGTATTATATTGCTTGATCTCTTTTTCATCATAATACTGCTTATTTTACTCCTTCGGTGTTGATATAGTAAAGAATTTAGAGCCACCGAAACTTATTTCAAGATACCTTCCCGGAAATCTAGGTGACTGACTGATCAAACAGTCAGTTGAATCAACAAATTGTCCTACATAAAAGCTGTTTCCAGAACTGATTTGCTAATTCAACTATCAGGCTCTTCAGTAAGGTTGTGTGTGTGTCTGTGTCTGTCAGAAAGGATTACTACAAAACAGGAAGTCAGACACTTATTTGGTCAGGACAAATTATCTTCCATGGAACTTACCACTTGAATCCCATGTCGTTAATACATGTCTTCCATTTATATGATGATTTTGATGAAGACTTGAATTATAGTCTCCTTTTCTCTGTATCCCATAACTTGATGTACAAGACTGGGCAGCCATATCATTCAACGAATCCACATTAGCATTGATAGAAAGAGTTGGATAGGGGAGTAAAATGCGACTTTGGGACCTTGTATCCACACTGAGGTTAGACAGAGGAATATAAGTCTTTGTCACCACTTCCTGTTGGTTACTTTTATGACTGAGTAATTCCTTATTTTCGCGCTGAGCTGAGCTCTGTGAAGTGCAAAGTTTTGGCCATTGAAATCCTTGAACCTTAGTCATCCTGTCGGATTTTTGCAGGCATCCCTTAAAGGTTGTAAGTGCATGATTCCGCATGGAAGAAAGGTCCCTTTGACTGTACCTCGATAGGCCTTCAGCGATCACTGGAGTTTCATGAGTTAGTGAGTATATAGAGGCCGTAGAAAATTTGAAATTGTTACTTGTACTTGTTGTAGTAGTGCCATGAATCGGTCTGGATTGGAGTTCGCTTGAAGTTGAGTATTTGGCTCCAGTATCTACAAAATTATCAGGCCATAACAAGCTTCCCGAGAGAAGGCAGCTGTCAACTGGAGGCTTTGTTTCTGATGAGTCTACTATATCGATCAGCCCTTTCTTAGGATAACCACATGGCATGTATTCGTAGAGGTTCAGCTGCCAATCTGAATCGTTTCCCGCCTTCTTTAAACTTCCTCGTTTTACCTCAGGCAGCGATATGTTCAATGCACCATACTCATTTTCGACATCAGAAAAGTACTTCAGATTCAATGCCATATCATCCAAAAATAAATATGGCCTGACTTTTAAAAAAGAAGACAGAATTCGGTCAGAATCACTTTTAGTATTAAATGGTTTTACGCTAGGAATCCAACTAGAAAGATTGGGAAGGCTTATTGTTAAGTTGCAAGTAACAAGATTTTCAACAGCTTCTGTGGCGGTAGACAATATGCTATTTGCATTATTTCTTTTATCTTCACAGGAGTAAGCGACATGGAATCCAGCTGTGTTGGGGTACCTGAGAAATATAATAAACGAGGATTATTAATTTGAAAGAAGTGTAGGGAAACCACGAGAAATTGAATACCCGAATTTTCACTCCTTTCAGATTTTACGCATTTTCGATAACTATCGGATAATAACATTTATCACATAAACAAATGGACAGTGAGGAAAGTCCCCCTATCCATAAAAGCATAGCCAATCAGACTGCAATCTGAGCAAGCTTATCAAATTTGAGAAGCGAGGGTTACGCGCTAAGACATGAAAACAAAATATAGTGCTCATTTACAGAAAAAAGAGAATAGGATATTTAGGACATGAATTCGTATGATCGAATTAGTACTAACTTGCAATATGAGCGAGAACGTATTCCGACACCAGCAACAGAAATTCGACGTTATAACAAGCTGTTGATTATTGACATCTAAGTGAAAAGATTATCGAGAGCAGTCACCTTCTGACGTCAACTCTAAATTCTCACTCAATCTTTCAATATGTTCGAAATATTTATTTTGGTGGCTTCACAGCAATAGATGAAATAGATAGAATGGCACAACTTATCCAGTGAACCTCTGTTGACTGAATCACCATGGAACACATCAAATCGAAATGAATAAACACCAGTCCGTGGAATCAGTGATCATTAATTTAGAGGAAGGAAAACTGAGTGAGGCTGATATTAAATGGTTGTATAAACTATGACGTTATTTGTATCAACATTGAGCACATTAAGAATTCCGGAGAAAGGATTTGAGCGAGACTCGTTCTGTAAGGCTACGGGATTCAATTTTTGTCATTCCCAAATATTCCTCAAAATGAATCACTTCGCTAATCAGCAATTCTCCTCATCCAAGCTTTTGTGATATAACCATACGTGTACTTAACAAATTCCTCAGATTACCAACGGAAATAAAATAATTCTTCCAAGGAGACTAATACTATGGAAACTGTATGGGAATAGTGGAACTTCAATATTTATTAATTCTCTTAATAAAAATTATTCAAAATTAGTCGGAAGAAAATATATTTATTATGTGAACTAAGAATAACTCAGTTCTAGACAATAAATAATACTATTATTGGTTATGCACCATCATCACAGACATCAATCAGAGTCATATATAATGTTTGGTTGGCCAAGTCGGTGCAAGGCATTTCGCTCACATCTTCATGCACGTAAAGCTCTTGTAATGCATAGGAAAAGGCCTGGAATTTGTTCTCAGCCTCTTTCACCAATATGGCCTCAGTGTCTCTGTCAGTTTCCTTACTTGTTGTATGTGCATGATAGACCGTATGTTTCTAAAGCAGTCTAAAGCAGTTTTACATATCATTTGTATTAATGTCAGTCGTATAACCTACCTCGAACACAAACAATAATACACTTATCTTCTGTAGGTAGAGTTTACCTATTTATCAACCAGTCCTCAGTGGTTTTTGTATCTCCTTACCTATTTACTTACTTACTTACTTACTTAGTTACTTAATAATAGAGTATTTTGTAGACAGAATGAGGATTTTGATGTGTGCATGCTATACCAAATAATTAAGTTGTGAACAGTGTGTATAATTATTATGATGATGAAAACTTGAGAGAGGAGAGGGAGTACACCATTCAGTCATATTATTCAGGAGAAGAATTCACTCTCGTTTGCATTTATTGCTGGGCATGTGGAGTGGAGTGGATTGGATTGGATTAGATAAGTAGTGTAAATGTCATCGCCTACATCTAGACACTTACGTCGTAAATATCGTAGATTGTTATTGTATACGGCGAAAACAATACTGTAAAAACCTGTCATACTTTTATTTCACTAAGAAAACTAACAACAATAATATTGGGTTGAACGAAAAGGAGAGTATTTTAATACATCTCATTCGAAGTTCTTATGAATTTCCTTTTTTCTACAAATAAAATTCTCGTGATGCATGATGAATGAATGTAGAAATGATGGGATTTGCGATTCAGTGCTGTTAAATGCAAATTATCTCATAGGCGAGATATTAGCACATGTTTGACAAATCGAACTTACTTCATCTCATGCTTTATGGTACACATAACCTTTGGACGGGTCTGCCTCAAATTTATCTATTGGACAATCAGTAGATTCTGGGTTTGATCCTTCCGTCTGAAACTTCTTCTAAGACAGTATACCTATTTATTTGCAACAGCTAGTTATCACCCTATCTGCATATGTATGCTTATTCCAACAACCGTCATTATTTCACACTTATAACGTCATGCCAACTTCTGTGTCTTTCTAACGTTCAATTAGTCATCCGTTCAAGCCTGCACATTACATTACGTAATGGATGTTTCGAGAACAAAGTTTACCAGTATCCAGTCGGCCTAATGATTTCTTATTTAAATGTAATTACTAGTGTACATCTCATGAAAATGAGTCGTCGTAGAGAAAATTCTCTTTGCTGTTTACGTCCTATCTCACGAGTGATTAATATTAAGCACCTTAGTTATTTAAAACTCATTTATATAATGATAAATTGAAGATGAAAGAGTTCTCAAAACCAAAATTCATCATTTTGGAAGTCTGAAATCTTAAGTCGACCTACTGAGGAAATGTGTTTTTGCCATTTTTAAAAAGATCACAAGTTAATCTGAAACATTCCTATGCACATAATCATCTCAAAACTGTACACTTACCGGGATACTGGTGTTCCTAATTCTCGCTGCGTCCACAACCTGCGTAACAGCTAATATAAAGAATGCAAGGTAGACATTAGGACTGATATGTTAGAGTTAAAACTGTGTATTTACTTCTGATAGCTTAAAACACAAATGATAAAAGTTCTTTAACACCATCGTTCAGCCCACATTCATAATTGTGTAAAACTGTTGGCCTACTTAAAATTTGCAAAGTAGTATACTTCATTCGACTCAAATATGTGGAGTCATAGCATTACTGGATTACGGAATATCTCGTTAATTTCAACATGGATTAGAAGCATAGACAAAGTTATAGTACATTGAAACAGCTGTCTCTCCACAGAATATACAAAGTGCATCTCGTATAAAAGTCATAATTGGTAAGAAATACAGCCTAATAAAACGAAGCTTAGTTTCAATTTATCCGTGTTAATCGTCATCCCTAAAGACTAAAATACGTGGAGTTTGTGTGATAAAATAGTGCTGACTCAATAAATATTGGAAATCCAGGAGAACCGGACACTGTTACTTTCATGTTAGAGACCTCTCATCAGTTTTCGCTCAGGTGTCATTGGGAAATCAACCCCCTGTTAACCTCGGTAGAACCGTATATCCCACGGGTAGCGTTCATAGCTATATGTTGGTAAGCATTTCAAACTTAGAACTAGAAAGCTTAACAGAGCATGATAGTTTTATGTGGTCGCTTAACTGATATGGATTTCTAACAAAAGTGTAGTGAAATCAGTTGACTTATGTGGTTGTGAACGATTCCTCATGCAGAAGTCACTTATGGTTTTACTACATGATGAAGATTGTTCTTCGTCGTCTTCACTGTGCTTATCATGCAGAAACTGATCAACAATTTACCCAGTTCAGGAGTAACTGACAGCACACGAATGCTACTTGGCTCTCATAAGCTGAATTAAATTATCAGAAGAATGGATACTGAACAAAGGGTACTCTTTTCGATAAATTCATCATAGTCGTAAAATTCAGAGTTGAAAGTCTTTGTAAATTATATTGATTAGTGATAAGGGAAAAGCTCTCACATAAGTTTACTTACTTGTGAAGAAAACTTAACTAAGAGACTAAATTAAACTCATGTTAGAGGACTTCATCATGAGCTGACGCCAGTTAGAGAACCACTGGAAAACATGGGACTACTGGACAGGTGTTTCAACCTAGTTAGGGACTCCTCGTTGGTACGCACCCACCGCCACTGTTCGAACCCAGGATCTTCTGGTTACAAGGCGAGGTCGTAGATCATTTAGTCACTGGGACGCGATTCAATGGCCCATGAGTTCTAACTTCTACCAATTCACGACATAACGTGACTACTTTGCATTGTCTTCTTCTTCGATGAGCTACTGCCACACCTTCAACCTGCTGCACCCTACTGGTCAAGACTTCCCAGTAGAACACCAGGTAACTGCCTGAAGAGTCGCAAACTAGAGTGGAACAGCTGCCCAGTACTCCAAGGTATTTTCAATGGTTCTCTAACTACTGTCAGCTCATGATGAAATCCCCCAACCAATCAAATAGTAGTCCTCACAAAACTAATACTTGTAAGCTCAGGTTAGTTGAAAATAAAACCACCTGGTCAGTAGAACTTCATTACCTCAGTTTCAGTGACAGTGACTGTTAGCTCACTTAAAGAATAAACTATAATCCCTCTTAAGATTCCAATATGTAGCGTAATTCTCTAGTGTATCGTAATTCTTTACTGCGCTACAATAGGACCGGTTTAATTATTCTTTTCGCAAATAAAATGAAGAGAGAATATGGATTTTGAAATACAAATATTCATTCTGATGGATGAGGATTTACTGAATTTGTCGTTGACTTCAGTAGACTTTGAAATTCAACTTCCTACTAATCACTCCTCAGGAAGTAGTGTCCTTAAGGGTGGTGAAAATCTACTAATAGGAAATGATCACCTAAGAATAAGTCTGTCGTAGTAATAAATGCTTGTAATTCCTATGTAAACGAAATCAGATGAGTTATATCACTGTCCATAGAGTCTGATGAAACTGTAGCCTACTTATTACGATGGGTAATCAACTTAGTTTCCAGGTGATAAAAGTTGCTGGCGTACAAATTATTTATGCAAATGAAGTGATTATTTAGTCAGTATTGTTTGCATGGCAATAAACGTTCGAATTTCCTAATTTTCAAAGTTAATATAAAGAACACAAAAAGACGTTTTTGTGTTCTCCCCTTATCTGTCCTTAATAAAAATTACCAGTAATTTCTTTGGGTTAATATTTTGTTGTTTACGTATTCGCTCCGTAACCATAATTACCGTTTTCCATACAAATTTATATCGGTAATTATTCCGTTTAGTTTACGCAAAT